CTGAGCCATCCCTGTTGGCAGCTCAGCTCGGGCTGGGAATCAAACTGCTGTTGCTCAGAGCTCGCACTCTTGAGCGAGCTCTTAACCAACTGAGATGCTCGGCCGGCCCTAGCCTAGACTTTTTCACAGTGCAGGTAATTTCCAAAATCAGGGAGAGAGAGGGCAAGCCAGGGATCCATACGCACTTTTCTAACCTATGTTTGTGTTACATTTGTTAATATCTCATTGACCAAAGCAAGTCACATGACCAGTTCCAGAATTATAGTGAGCAAGAACTACTCAAGGATATTGGGAGATAGGGATAATTGAGGTCCATTACTACTATAACAAACACCACAAGCACTGAATGAGATCCTGTATGTAAACTCTGAGAAAAGACCTGGCTGATAGTAAATTCTTTATAAATGGTAGCCATTGTTATTTTTAGTAAGATAATTTTGATCCCAGCTTTGTTCAGATGTTCACCAGGGTCTCATTTCCACATCATATTTTGCTGTTTTTTTATTTTGGTCCTCCCACTGCTGCTGTTTTGCCGACAAAATTCAACTTCTATTATCCCTTCCTTTTACTCTAGATCTGCCTCTTTTTAGCTTTGGAGCATATTGTATTTTATTTAGTTTCTCTCTCCTGTATCTAGAATTTGTCTTTCCTTAAGAATCTGTTCTAAGGCATCTGCCTGTCATCTTCCCTAATAATCACTGCAGAATTGGGCCTCTTCCTTTGCACTTTTATAGAAATTGATATACATATTGCATCTGTTTGTCTCTCTTAGAGTGTGTATAAAGTAACATGTTTATTATAGAGTAATATAAGTGTAGAAAAGCACAAAACAGAAAGTTTAACCTACAACTCCATCATCTAGAGATAGTCACTGCTAACATTAATGTATCCTTCAAATTATTTAATTAACTATTCAAAAAANTAGTTTGGCCTCGTTCCCCCCAAAAGGAAATGGGATAGGAAATAGAAATCGGGTAGAATATTGGTAGATGGCCTATCAGCTTCATTCTTGAGAGTCTCCTATCATTTCCCATGCCTGTATTATCACTCCTGATCTCTCTGAATTCCTTACCTTAATGAGAGGAATCTCTTTAGTGTCAGCTGGTATGGACTGCAGTTGGGTCTGGGTTTGTTTCGGCCAATCCAACAAACTGTTAAATTCCAAACTGACTTCTCAGATTCACACACAGAATGTAACATCTCTGGTAAGACTCCCCAAAGCAACAGATCCAGTGTAATCTGAAAGAACAGTTTGGTTTCCTTGGTTAAACACCCAGAAGATCTATGTTCACATCATCACTTCTGGGTAAAAGGTTAACAAAAACCCTTTACCTTTGTACATGAGAATTAACTTTTGATTAGCTTTATCATTCTGTTTTACTAGAAACCTGTTAAAAGTAGTATGTCAACTACGGCATTCTTATACACTGCTGGTGGGAATACAATATGGTTCAGCCAATACAAACAGTGTAGCAGTTTCTAAAAATGTTAAACATACACCTACCATATAAGAAGAAAAAGCATATGTCCATATAAAGGCTGTTTGAATGTTCATAGCAGCCTTATTTATAATAGTAAAAAACTAAAAATAACCCAAACACCCATCAACTGGTGAACATATAAACAAATTGTGGCATATACATTCAATGGAATGTTATTCAGCAACAAAAAGGCATGGGCTATTGATACACACTGCGATATAGATAAATCTCAAAATAATTGAAAGAAGTCTGGCTAGAAAAAAGTGCATTCTGTATCATACTATTTAAATAAATCTCTATAAAATGAAAACTAATCTGTAATAACAGAAAGCAAAACAGTGGTCATGGGCTGTGGGAGGAGAGGGACGGATTACCAAGGGAAGGAGGAAACTTTGGGGGTTGTCAGGTATGTTCACTATTTTGATTGTGGTGATGGTTTCAC